GTGTGTGTCGGGAGGGCTAACCTTGACCTCTCTGCCTCTACTAGCTTCAAGCAACCTTTAAACAAAATATACGAACGCTCGGTTACGGTGACGGAATTTCCAGTCCCACTGTTTGTCACCGAAACACTCCCTGAGACGCCCAGCCCGAGTGTTTGGTCTGCTTTGACAGTCTGGTGGCTGGAGGGTTGCCAGAAGCCCAGGGTGGGAGCCACGCTCCCTCCTACTCCCCAATCCTCTCCCCCAGCCCCGACCGCGCTTCTGCACCCAAAGCCCCTTATCCCTATCCCCCCTCACAGAACTGGCACCCCCAGTTACAGCCCTCCCCCCCTTCCACACCCGAACCTCCTGCCTCAGCCCACAGCCTCCTCCTGCATCCTCAGCCCCTCATTTCTGGACCCACCGTGGTGCCTGCATTCCCAAGCCAGAGGCCTCACCCCCTTCTGCACCTGCTGCCCCAGCCTGGGGAAAATGAGTGAGGGTGGGGATGCAAGCGACTGAAGGAAGGGGGAGGGCATGCGGGGCACAGCCTCACAGAAGGGGCCTGGCCTGAGTGGGGCAGAGGGGCAAGGATGTTTGGTTTTGTGTGATTAGGAAGTTGGCAACCCAGGGTCCTTCCACCTTCAGGGGTGGGGGGCCAAGTGCAGCCCCTGGCCTACGCCCCTTGTCTCCCCCCGAATCCTGCCCAGGGCAAGTGATGAGGTTGCAGCTATTCACAGTTGCTCCCTGATGGCTTTTACCCAGGCCTGACTTCAGCTTCCACCCTGGTTGGGGGGGGTCAGGGCCTGCAAGAGCAGAGGCTAAGGGGGCTGGATCATGGTGGAAAAAGGTTTCAGGGCCTTGGCTGGCAGAGGAGGCGGCTGCTCTGCCAAATTCGTTGAATGTCACTCCTCAGCCCGCCAACGGCACAGGTGGAAGGGCCGGGGCAGGAGTGGGGGAGGGAGCAGGGCTCCTTTCCCTGCCAAAACCACAGGATAAAAAACGCTCCCTGATGCACCCAGGCAGCATTTCACGCCGGCAGCTCTTCAAAAGCGAAAGCCTGACAGGCTAGAGGAGGCGGCTGCTCTGCCAAATTCGTTGAATGTCACTCCTCAGCCCGCCAACGGCACAGGTGGAAGGGCCGGGGCAGGAGTGGGGGAGGGAGCAGGGCTCCTTTCCCTGCCAAAACCACAGGATAAAAAACGCTCCCTGATGCACCCAGGCAGCATTTCACGCCGGCAGCTCTTCAAAAGCGAAAGCCTGACAGGCTCGAAGAGCTCATGATTTTTGAGCCAGTCCCATGAATGGAGGGGAGGGAGGGGCTGGTTTTTGAATGCGCAGGGTGGGCAATGCAGCGTTGGCAATGAATGGAAAACAAGGATCAGCCAGACATGCCCACAGCAGGTAGCACAGTGCAAGTTCGCATGTTTCATGTAGCCATCCCCCTGTTAACGGCCCCCCTGTTCTGGGTTGGCTGGTGTGCAAAGACCTGAGCGGGACGCTCGCCAGCAGCCCTTGCTCTGGGTAGAGAGAGACCTCTCCTGACCTTACTCTTCCACATCACGTCTGCAGGGGGAGCTTGGTTGCATTCGGGTGCCCGGCCTCCAGAAAGCACCAGCCAGGCAACACGCATATTGTTTGTATTAAACCAGAACAGCATTAATGCCACTGCCAACAAGCTGACCGGCCACGGTTGTCTTTTCATGGCAGCAATTGTGCAGACAAGTTTCTTTGTTCCTGAGCCAGCCAGCCACAGCTCCGCACTCAGAGACATGCTTTGTCTAGTGCAGGTTGCAGCTGTCTGGGTTTTGAACACCACCTGGTGACAGAAAGATTTAAGAACGGCCATACTAGATCAGACCAAAGGTCCATCTAGCCCAGTATCTTGTCTGTCGACAGTGGCCTGTCCCAGATGCCCCAGAGGGATGGAACACAACAAGTAATCCTCACGTGATCCCTCCCCTATCACCCACCTTCAGAGAAACAGAGGCTAGAGACACCATTCTTATCCATCCTGGCTAATAGCCATTCATGGACCAAACCTCCATGAATCTATGTAACTCTTTTTTGAACCCTGTTAAAGTCTTCACTACATCCTCTGGCAAGGAGTTCCAAAGGTTGACTGTGCGCTGAGTGAAGAAAAACTTCCTTTTGTTTTAAACCTGCTGCCTATTGATTTCATTTGTGAGTTTTATGAACTCTGATTTCCCTTCTTTTTCTGCATAGGGTCTTATCTCCCACTGGTCACCATAGCAGCCAAGTGGGCATTAAGCAACATGCCCGTACACAGGTGGTGTCTCTTCCTCGCTCTAGGGGGGGGGACTAGATGTGCCACCCATTCCCTCCCTGTGGGCGCTGGCTTTGGAGCGATTTCTCCCTTCACGCCTAGCGGCTCCTCCCAGAAGCCACCCAGATTGCTTTGTGTTTAAGGATGAGCTGATATTTTCCCCATTGGCCTTCCACGGGAACCTAGGAACGTGGGAGCAGCCAGATTAAACCAGGCCCAAGGGTCGCCTGGCCCAGTCTTCGGTGTCTGACAGCAGCAGTCACCAGCTATCTCAGTGTAAGGTACCCTGCAACAGGCAGTCTTGGGATACTCAGCCTCTGGGGGAAATCTTTCCTCCTCACCATCCCTAATGAGAGGTGAGGTTATGCCCTGGGGCATCAAGGCTTCGATCCTTTCCAGCGCCTCTGAATATCATTTAGTTAGCCCTAGAGAGTCCAGTCCTGATTCTTCCCCATTTGGGGTGTAGCAACACCCAGCATCTTCCCCCTTGACCGTGCATTCTCCTTTCCATAGTCTACACATGGAATTAGGCACAGGCCCCACTGAAATGCTCATGGTGACAACCTCTGGGCATGCCTGGTGGATGAGGGACTTTCCTTCTGTTGGTTCCCCACAGTTTGAGTATCATGCTTGGAAGTTTTTCACCCAAACATTTACCTAGACATTTGGTGATTGGAGATAGTTAACATACAGGGACTGTTACGATAACATTGCATAAAGTGGGGTGGAACAAATAAAAAAGGAGGGGTAGAAAGGGAACATCATAGATTTGAGGCCAATGTGCATCGTTCTAAAAATGTGGCCTGGATTGCACCCAATGTGTGGTACAGAATTGCATGCACACTACTGCAGAGTGCCATCATTT